TTGTGTTTTTGCAAGCATTTTCCACTAAATACAATTTTTTTCCCTCAAATATTTTCCCTAATATATGCATTCTGGGACATGCATTTTTCTTAATATATCCGTTTTTAATTTGAGAGCGGCTTTGTAAAACCCTGGCAATTATAAATCTGGATATAGGCATAGAACCGTACTTGCTTTGAAAACATCTGGGAATCAATCCTGCCTTTCAGATGCATGAAGCTTTCTGAAAATCATTTATAAGAAGATAGACGAATTAACAGAGAATTCTTCTGAGGCATACTCCAAGTCTAATCTTCACTTTCTTTGTCCAGAATAAGCTGAAATGATTAGTTGATCAACTATGTTGCATGCGGCTGATTCATTTGATTGCCATCCAATTGACAGTGGCCAAATTTCCACTAAAGAAGATAGAGAGACCCACTTAAACCCTCCAATTTCTCTTGGCTGCCCCCGAATGTGTGAAGTTTAAGAGGAGGAAGTGTGTGGGCATGCAGCCCAAGTCAAAAATACAGGAATAAAGAGTTCCACTGGAATAGGAGGCCACAATGGACGGGTGGCTTTAAAAAACATGTTGAAACAAAGCAGCATGGATTATATTCCATCGTAAAGAGAGGCCTCTGGCTTAAAGAGTTCAGCCTGAATGCATCAATCTGTCTTTGTTGACAGCTCCCCTGTTTGTCTTTCCAAGCCCAAGCCATTTCTTGGAGAAAACAAAACAGAGATTGGAGATGGCGTGGGAAGGGTTGCACAGAAGGCATAAAACCAGTGGCGATTTTTCATCATCTCTCAGCCTCCTTGGTGCTTAATCAAAGGAGCTGTCATACTTTGCATTAAAACTGGCGAAATTGTGTCTGGTTCAGGCGGAATCGGTTTGGCAATGAATTGAATTATTACCTCATTGCCAAGGGACCAGCTTAACTCATTACTTAAACCATTCCACATCTGCTTGGCTGTCCACTCTCAGAAAGTAACCCTTGTGCAAATGGATAGACATGTAAGAAGTTCAACTCTTTTCATTTCAACCCATTTGCACAGGGGTTACTTTCTGAGAGTGGACAGTCAAGCAGATGAACCCCATGAGTGCTGTGTTTTTCTGCTTGTCTTCAACCCAATACCAGATCAGTTACAAATCTAGCAATTGTGTTCACACAACACCCTAAGCTTGGTTTTAAACTTGGTTAGAGCTTTGTTTTGTTCTGTCGCTTACGTGTTGTCTGCACCCAACCCTTTGATTAGATCACGATTCAATGCATAGTGTAAACCCATTGATTGATTGGTTATGTGCCATCCAGTTGCTGTCGACTCTTAGCAACCACATAGGTAGATTTTCT